TCAAAAAATGCTCAATGTTAGGAACACTGAGAAACCTTGCTTTAACAACAGTCATAGTGAAATCATAGGCGAAAGCATTAACTTACCATTTTTCTTACAATTAGAATATGCTGATAAATCCTACGAATAATACAAAATACTCAACTCTTAAAAATAAAGGAGATGGGTAAAATAATTCAGTTATTTTCTTAATGTGTTGCTTTCTGGAATCAAAGCTAAAATCTGTTAATTTGGTTGTATGGATGTCCCATTCATAACCCTACTCTTTTCTATCATTTAGATAGTATGTTATCACCTCTCATAATATTATTAGATTTTTCCATGTAGAAATAACTCAATCTACCACAACTGTAGAAAACATGTGTTTTTGCAAATAAGGATTTTGTGAACAATGGAAAAATGCCTAGAAACTCTTCCAAGGCATTTTGCAGTGGTGTATTGTGATAGAATAGTGATTTTTACCTAAGTCTCTAGTATGATTTTGCAAATTATTGCCTCATTAAGAAACCAAGTATATTGTGGACCTACTATGATAAGCTTAAAATAAACTACTTAAACTTTTCTATAAATATAAAAATAAGCACTGGTTTTATTTAAAAAAAGTAGGGATATATTTCCTGAAAAAAATCTTCCATTATTCTCACATATGTATGTATTCTTTCGTCATCTATTGTAAAATCATATATCACCTTAATTTTCTGGTCGTAATTACTGACAATGTTTCATATTTGTATCATGATTAACACTGTACAGAAGTATTTAGCATCCATTTTTATTTTATATTCTATAGCCCATTTTTATGACTCTGAAGCATTTGCACCCAGATTCTTTCCTTTTGTTTTTCAGAACAGAATGAAACTAAGCTCACAAAATGGTGAAAAAACAGCTGTGATCTTATAATTTATGAACAAAAAAACCATTATATTTGTCTCCATTTAAGATTTTGCTGCAATGCTAAGAAAATTCGAATATGCTAGACTATGATTTATCATCAAGTCAACTTAGAAAACAAAGTTGAGGGGCCAGAGTAATGGTACAATGTATTAAGGTGCAGTTGGCAATGCTGGCATCCACTATTAGACCCAGTATGAGTCTTGGCTGCTCTGATTCTGACCCAATGTCCCACTTATACATCTGGTAAAGACACTGAAGTTGGTCCAGACAACTACCTTCTATATGGGAGATAAGGATGGCTTCTGGCTTCAGATTGGCCCAGACCTGGCTATTACAGCCATTTGGGGAGTAAACCAATGGTGGCAAGATCTCACTTTCTCTTTCTCCCTCCCCATTCTTACTGTCTATCTCCTTCTAATTGGCTTTCAAATAAATAAACATTAAAAGTAAACCAGGCTAAGCCATCATTCAAAATGGGCTTTTGCAATTTTTCTCTTAAATAAAAATATCTTAAATAGGATTCCAAGTATAATCATGTGTATTAATGGAAATATTTTAAGAAAATACAAATAGAGTCTAGCTGCTATTTGTAGTTATTTATTTTCTCTTTAACACAATTGTTTTATTATTTGTAATGTCCCCCCAATCATAAAAATGTCAAAATTAGGTAAATGTGTTAAATGCGGTCAACAGGGTTTTAACAACTTTAAAATTGGTACAATGTTCCACAATCAGATCCAATTTAAGTTGCCAGAAATGGACTGTAATCATTGTCACCACATGGTTGGATTGGAAGGTCTGTGTTACATCTCCAATGGAGAATGACAATATGTGGCTTTATATAGGATCCTGGATAGAAAAACATAATTGATTCTGTTGATGTGGTTGCAATTTAAAGATCTGATATCACTGCCATCATAATGATCAACAATTCAAGTGATGGATAAGATAGGCATGAGTGAACTTCCTTTTAAATAATGCAATTATATATTTGATTTAACTACTTAAAATCTATTGTACAATTACCAGGCAACAGATTCATTTTATAAAAGTTGAACCAAACTTGCTATAAGTAAGGCAGTAATTCAGGATGTGCTCTTATGGAAGAAAATGATCAAAAGCATTTGCCTTGGATTACTTTTTTAATGTTCATTTCTTTTCAGCTACTTGAAAGGCAGAGTGACAGTGAGACAAAGAGAGGTGCTTCATCTGACAGCTAACTCTCCATATGCCCAAAATAGCTAAGGCTGGATTAGGCTGAATCCAGGAAGCTGAAAACTCATTTGAACCTCTTTCATGGGTGACAGAGGCCCAAGCACTTGAATCATCATCTGCTACTTCCCAGGATGCACTGGCAGGAAGCTAGATTGGAAGTGGAGGAAGCTAGATTGGAAGTGGAGGATCCAGACACAAAATAGTACTCAGATATGGGCCAAGGACATCTCCAGGATGACCCAAGTCACTGCACCACCACGACACTCACCCCTGGACTCTTTAAATAATGAACATCCATCTGTGATGAAATGTTTGCTAATCATTCACTATGATTAGAAGTGTAAAATGTGATGGTGCACAAAACTAAAAAGTGTCTTGGACCACAAATGAAAATCAAGTTAAAAATATGTTAGCAGATCTCAAAGTATATCTTTAGTTACTAGGTAAAAATATTCAATTATCAAAACCTAACTTAAAGCAGTTTTGAAATATTTGTAAATATGTCAGTTTGGCTGTATTTGTTAAGTTTATTAAATAGTTGCAAAATATTGAGGATGGCACTGTGGCATAGTGGACTAAGCTTCTGCCTGCAGTGTTGGAATCCCATACAGGTGCTGGTTCTTGTCCCCATTGCCCCTCTTCTGAGCCAGCTCGCTGTTATTGCCTGGGAAAGCAGTGGCAGATGGTCAAGGTGCTTGGACCCCTGCACCTGCATGGGAGACCTGGAGAAAGCCACTGGTTTCTGACTCTCCAGCTTTGGCACCCATTTGGGGAGTGAATCGCAAATGGAAGATCTCTCTCTCTCTCCCTCTGTCTGTAACTCTGCTTCTCAAATATTATCCCTCTTAGTAGTTTTTTTTTGTCTGTTCTACTTAATATGACTGGTTTAATTCTGTAATTAATACACAGTTATTCTTAAGTGTTGAAATTTAACTGAAATGTGATCCCTGTTAAACATAAGAGTGGGAATAAGAGAGGGAAGAAATGTACAGTTTGGGACATGCTCAAGCTGACTTGCCCCAAATGGTAGAGTTAGAAACATACCAGGGGACTCCAATTTAATCCCATCAAGGTGGCATGTACCAATGCCATCTCACTAGTCCAAGTGATCAATTTCAGTTCACAATTGATCATAATGAAAGGACTAAGAGTCAAAGGGAGCACATAAACAAGTTTAGTACCTGCTAATACTAACCGATAGAATAAATAAAGGGGAGAGTGATCCAACATGGGAAGCGAGATACTCAGCAGACTCATAGAATGGCGGATGTCCTAAACAGCACTCTGGCCTCAGAATCAGCCCTAAAGGCATTCCGATCTGGCTGAAAAGCCCATGAGAGTATTTCAGGCATGGAAAGCCAAGACACTCTGGCAAAAAAAAAACAAAAAAAACAAACAAAAAAACACAACAACACCTAAATGAAAGATCTCTGTGAGAGAGATCCCAGTGGAAAGAACAGGTCTTCAAAGAAGGAGGTACCTATCTCTGAAGGGAGGAGAGAACCTCCACTTTGACTATGACCTTGTCTAAACAAGATAAGAGTCGGAGAACTCAAGGGGCTTCCATAGCCCCTGGTGCATAGGGAGATTACTGATGCCATAAACAGGAGTGTCAATTTGTAAAGTCAACAACAGGAGTCACTGTGCACTTACTCCTCATGTAGGATCTCTGTCCTTAATGTGCTGTACATTGAGACATAATGCTATAACGAGTACTCAAACAGTATATTTCACTTTGTGTTTCTATGTGAGTGCAAACTGTTGAAATCTTTACTTAATGTATACTAAACTGATCTTCTGTAAAAAAAAAAAAGAAGAAATTATCAATTCCCAACTTGACTCTCACTGGGATTAAACATGACAATAGGTCTGATCTGATTTCATCCTCATTTAAAAAATCATCTATTATTTTTCACTTTATGTTTCTGTGTGGGAGCAAACTGTTGAAATCTTTACTTAATGTATACTAAACTGATCTTCTGTATATTAAGAGAATCGAAAATCAATCTTGATGTGAATGGAAGGGGAGAGAGAATGGGAAAGGGGAGGGTTGCGGATGGGAGGGACGGTATGGGGGGGGAAGCCATTGTAATCCATAAGCTGTACTTTGGAAATTTATATTCATTAAAGAAAAGTTTAAAAAAAAAGAATCTGCTCTTTGTGTATATACTTAACTGAGCATGGGGTGGAATCTGTTGTTTGTTTATATGCTCAACCTTTGCAAGGACTGTGCCTGTGACATGACACACATAGCAAATCCTGTCTCCCTGAATGAGTGGCTGAGGGGTTGAGAACTTGGGTGTATTTGTTGAATTTGTATTTTATCTTCCTGCAGGAAGGAATGTCAACCATAGCGAGTAAGAAGGGCTTAAAAGATATCGCCGTCACCCAAGTTGCTCCACACCAGCCAGTGAATAAATATGCGTTCAACTATGATCGTGGATTGGACAATGGTAACATGGGTAGTGGTTGCCTATCCTTTGAAACTTAATATTAAAATACAATGAACAGAAATGAGTAGCTCTGAATTGGATAGCCATTTATTTTGAGGGTTTTCTTTGGCTTTTTTTTAATATAACCAACTTCTTCCTGAAACAGCTTCAACCCTCTGAAATTCATCCTTACTATTCGTTTTATTTCACTGAAATATTCATTTCATTGCAATATTCATGAGTGGAGAGAGACACACCTTTATGTAAAATAAAAGTTAAAAAAAAGAAAAAAATATATTTAAAAAATAGCTGCAACATGCGTGTCATGTCTACATTAATGGGGATAATTACAACCATTACTAGCAGACATATGTCAATCAAACTAAGTACTTCAACAAACTAAAAATAAGAAGTATATGAACAACCTGAAACCCAAGAAAAAGAGGCAATATATCTAACCGTGTCCAAAGACTCTGCAGTGTTGTGATGTGAAGCCTGAGTTGCTGAAGTAGGAGTCTCCAAGTTCTGTTGTGGAGTAAGATCTCTGCTGAGCCAGAAACTATTAGCACAATTTCCAACGCTATGTGAAGCTACTGAAGTTTGCGTAGTAACAGACTTGGTTAATGTTCCAGTCTGTTGTTTCTCCAGGAGAAAATTTTTAGTTCTGACCTCTGCTAATACTTCATTAACTCTGTGAAGATTGAAAGGACCAATGGTTAGTATTTCATTCTCCCCTTAATAATTCTTACATGAATTTCATTTTTTAAAAGTAAGAGTCAATGGGCATGCACAATAAACAGTGTTTTAATACTGAAAATGTGTTACAGCACAGTTTCTGTATAATTAAGGTCTTTTAAAGTTAAAAATTTCACAACATGACTCAAACCCAGTACAAGGGAGAAGGATGCCTGTCAATGCTGTATGACTGATCTGGTGACATCTGCTTCCTCCCAAAAGGCTCTATTCTCAAAATCCTTGCACATGCCATTAGAAATATTTTATTTAAATAACAATTCTGATATAATGGATGATGATTTCTTCGATGCTAGTAAACATTTTCTAATATATAAATATTTCAAAACATCATGTTTTGCCACTTAAATATATGAAACAGTAACTTTTTTTTTTTTTTTACAGGCAGAGTGGACAGTGAGAGAGAGAGGAGAAAGGTCTTCCTTTTGCTGTTGGTTCACCCTCCAATGGCTGCCGCAGCCGGCGCACTGCAGCCAGCGCACCGCGCTGATCTGATGGCAGGAGCCAGGTACTTATCCTGGTCTCCCATGGGGTGCAGGGCCCAAGTACTCGGGCCATCCTCCACTGCACTCCCGGGCCACAGCAGAGAGCTGGCCTGGAAGAGGGGCAACCGGGACAGAATCCAGCGCCCCGACTGGGATTAGAAGTCGGTGTGCCGGCGCCGCAAGGCGGAGGATTAGCCTAGTGAGCCGCGGCGCCAGCCTGAAACAGTAACTTTTTAAAAAGGATAGAAATCATTGTATTGAAAACTAAGTTAGAGATTTAGAATACCACCAAAGACATTTTCAGGTGCTTACTTATTTTTTTTTTAATTTTTTTGACATGCAGAGTGGACAGTGAGATAGAGACAGAGAGAAAGGTATTCCTTTGCTGTTGATTCACCCTCCAATGGCCTCCGTGGCTGGCATGCTGCAGCCAGTGCACTGCGCTGATCCGAAAGCAGGAGCCAGGTGCTTCTCCTGGTCTCCCATGTGGATGCAGGGCCCAAGCACTTGGGCCATCCTCCCCTGCACTCCCTGGTCACAGCAGAGAGCTGGCCTGGAAGAGGGGCAACCGAGACAGAATCCGGCGCCTCAACCGGGACTAGAACCCAGTGTGCCAGAGCTGCAAGGCGGAGGATTAGCCTAGTGAGCCGCGGCGCCCGCTTCGGGTACTTACTTTCAAAAAAGCCCTGCTTTTTTCACCCACTTTTTGGGAGAAATTAAGCAAATGCTTAATTTTTGGCATTGGGAGATAATTCAGAACAATGACTGTGGGGAATGAGATAGCCAAGTAGGTATTCAGCAACAACTAAAGCAGCTAGGAAGACATGAAAGGTGGGACTTGCTCTTTCTTCCAGACACTATACTTTCCTTCCTCTCTTTCTTAATCTTTCTCAAGGCATCCTTTAGTGGATTACCAATAAAGGTAATATAAAGGATTACAATAAAGGAAAGGTAACTAGACAAGTGCCATATTGTACCAACAGGTGGAGGAGGGGGAGGAAGAGATGCTAGACACTTAAGTTGTAATCCTGAACTTAAGTTAACAGAGTTGTTAACATTTACATAAATTGTTCTGCACTAAAAATTTTCTGGTAATTTCATTTACTAACATTATTTTCCAAAATCACTTTGTCTAGGTAGATTATATCCTTACTAATCTCAGGAACCTGTTTCACTAAGAATTATGCTTTAGTGGCAAATTAGCAAATGTAAGCTATTGTCTGCGATTCTATGTTTTGACTTACTCATTTACTTGCTTTGAAAAAGCTTTTGCAACCTGAATGATCTCATCTTGTTTTCTTCTCACATCTTCAAATCCCTCTAGAAGGAGTTGCTTATATTCGTCCAATTCTTTAGAAATGGCTTCCTGAGGAGCTTTCATTTTGGAGAGTGTAGATATCCCAACATGGATTCTGTGTTCTTTTTGTATACTTTTTGAAATGTCATCACTCTCCATTAGATACTCTGAACTTTTTTGACATGATGTTTTTTTCTAAAGCAAAATAAAAAGGTAATTTAAAAAATCATTAAAATATATATTAATGTTTTTATTTATTTCTTTTAGTTTTGAATCAGTGATTCTGAGAGAAATTTTAAAGTAAAAAACAAGCCAAAGTTTAAAATATTTATCTCAATACACATTGACTGAAATTTGAATTCTAATGAAAATAATACCATTATTACATTACTACTCATGTAAATTAGTTATCAAAGAATAGAAGCATCGATTAAAAGTGAATAGCAATTAAAGCAACTAAAACTATACTATAATTCCTAAATTACAATTTTCCCCTTGAGGTTAATGAGAAATCACAATTCAGAGGATAAAAGTTTATGATGTGATCTGTATACTTTTGTGAATGAAAATGTTTCAGTCAATGAAACTGACTTGTCATCCTTTGATGTTTTCCACAAAATAAGGGCACATATTAAACAACAGCAAGAGAAAAGCTTGATGGAGTTTCCCTGGTACTGAGTGGAGAAGGAGTCATTTCCCTCAAATAAAACCATTAACTGATACTTAAAAGTAGTACATTTAGAGCATGTCTACAAACCCTTTGACAATTTTTCCATGAAATTTTCTCTCCTGAATGTGAGCTGGACAAAGCAATGTGTATCTAGTGAACAGAATAGGGCACACATGCTGAGTGACTTTTGCTAGGCTGTAAAATGTGATGCTGCTTCCACCTGAATCTCTCAAGCAAACTCGGACTTAGAAATTAGCCACCCAAAGACGAGAAAGTGAAACAACATATTGATATTCCAACTGATGTCCCAGGTAAGGTCCAAAAAAAAGCAACTATCAACACCAAACAAAGCTGGCATTGTGTACAGTATATTGAGCTGCTGGCTGTGATGCTGGAATTCCATACTGGAGCACTGGTTCAACTCCTTGGTGTTCTGCTTCTGGTTCAGCTCCCTACAAATGTGCCTGAGAGGGCAACAGAAGGTGGTGCCCCAGATACACTAGATGGTGACACTAGATACAGGGAGTTGTAACTTTAGGAAATTGAAACAAAGACTAAAATAGGTTAAATGCCTTCAGACCAAAGGGAGGTGGAAGCTGAAAGGGCCTACAAAAGAGGAAGAATGAAAACCAAAAGGACATCAAAGAGACTGTGTGGAAACTTGAGGTTTTGAAGGAACTGTCAAGAAAGGATACCAAGACCTGGAAGACAAGGGTCCCATTCTTCAGAAATCTGAAGGTAAAACTGATGTGAGAGAGAAACTAAAGAAAGACTACCAAATTTAAAGGAGCTATGACTTATTGGGTTCAAGTATCTAAATCCATATATGTGAATTACAGCATCTCCACATAACAAATCACCATGCAATTGTAAAAAAAAAAAAAAGTAAAATAAAAGGTGATTTCTGGAATAAAATCAAATCCAGAGTGCTGCTAGGCAAACAGGATCCAGAGATGAAGCAAAGATGATGACTGTACAATGGACAATAAAACTTCAGAAAAACTTTAGGTGGTGCCTCAAATCACCGTATGGGTCTTAGGAATTAAAGAACACGTCTGGAAGCCCAAGGTGAAGAGTTTCTGTCAAAAAGATTCGTGGGAGTGGGCATCAGAGTGCTTTTGGTTTTTACTTGCCTATTGCTCCTGAGTCTACCATTCTGTCAGTGTAGGCACTGGAAGGAAGCAGGGATGGCTCAAGTAATTGGGTTCCTATAAATCATGTGGGACCCCTGGCTTGAGTTCCCAGCTCTCAGCTTTAGCCTCACATGAGATCTGGTTATTTTAGGAGTAAACCAGTAAATAGGAATGTTTTGTGTGCTCTTTATCTTGCTCTCACACACTCTCTCTCCCCTAACTTCTTCTTTGTCTTAGGTAAAATCAAATTTTCAAAAGGTAGTATTTCTGAATATTTAGTGTCTAGTAGGATGAACTCCAATAAAATCACAGGAAGCTCCATTTTTCCAGAGGGTTGTATTAGAAAATCCAGTAGTTTCTAGTTTGCAATAAAAATAGAGAGAGGGCAGAATTAAAGGAGTCCTCTAACCTTGGAAGTTTGTTTTCTCTTTTTTTTGACAGGCAGAGTGGACAGTGAGAGAGAGAGACAGAGAGAAAGGTCTTCCTTTACCGTTGGTTCACCCTCCAATGGCCGCCGCGGCTGGCGCACTGTGGCCGGCGCACCATGCTGATCCGAAGGCAGGAGCCAGGCGCTTCTCCTGGTCTCCCCTGGGGTGCAGGGCCCAAGCACTTGGGCCATCCTCCACTGCACTCCTGGGCCACAGCAGAGAGCTGGCCTGGAAGAGGTCATACATTTTTATGTATCAAATATAATATGCATATATGTGCATATACATGCAATAGGTACACAAATATATTTAAAACAGTTAAATGCATACAGTATATACATGTGGAGGGATACACAAAGAAAATTAGCACATCTCATGAAATATTTTATAGCTAAAAATATAAATTTTAATTTTATGAAAGAATGATGCTGATATATTTTAAATATTTGAATATTTGGATGTTTAAGATCGTTACCAAAAATGGAAATATTATCAAAGACAGCAAATATATCTCCAGAAAAACAAGCTGAAGATACATTAAGAAGAATTCAGTTGACATTATGTACCAGGGCATTGTTATTACTGTTTATGAAATCATGAAACAGAAAATGTTATATTCTGGGATTCAAAAAATATAAAAGGTTCCAGATGGTTCTGTGAGTTTCAGAAGTAAACTTTGGCAGGGTACAGTTCAATTATGAAAACATAAGAAAATGTGTATTTAGGCTTTAATATAGCCAAACTATAGATAAGTTAATTAAAGAATAATTGATATAATCTGAAATACTAAAATCTTACTGAGTTATCTTGTCTCCTAAATCACCATTTTTCTTCATCTCTTCATCCAGTTTGTCCTGCAGAGCTTGATTTAACTCAGCAAGCAGCAGTATGTGTTGCTGTTCATCTTTAAACTTAAGAAAATGTGCAAATTATTTTTTAAAATGTAGGCTTCTTTCTAAAAGTATTATTCCCCGTGAGTTAATGAGTAATATTCTATAAAATCTGATGATAATCAGATTTCAAAAATAATGACTTCCCAAAAAACAGTTCAAGTTGACTTACACTTTCAATACTATCTTTTGTGGATTTCAAATTATCAAAATTCATTCATTAAAGATAGAGGTACAGTGGCTATGATGCTACTAGAGATTTCTGCAACCCAAATCAGAGTGTCTGCATGGAGTTTGGCCAACTTGGGTTCTAATCTAGATTCCTGCTAATGAACACTCAGTGAAACAGCAAATGATGTCTCAAGTGCTTGGATCCTGCACCTACATGGTAGAACTGGATTAAATTCTGGGATCCCAGCTCTAGGCTACTGTATGTATTTTAGTAGTGGACCCATAAATCAAAGATCTCTTTCTCACCCCCTCTCTCATTTTCACCTTGTCCCTCTCTTTCTTTCTACTAAAAATGAAAAACAAATACAGAGTTTAAAAAAACCAAATACTGTTAATGAATTATTTTTAACAGCAATTTTTAAATTTTTTTTTTTTACAGGCAGAGTGGACAGTGAGAGAGAGACAGAGAAAGGTCTTCCTTTTGCCGTTGGTTCACCCTCCAATGGCCACCGCGGCCAGCACACTGCTGCCAGCACACTGCGCTGATCCTATGGCAGGAGCCAGGTACTTATCCTGGTCTCCCACGGGGTGCAGGGCCCAAGTACTCGGGCCATCCTCCACTGCACTCCCTAGCCACAGCAGAGAGCTGGCCTGGAAGAGGGGCAACCGGGACAGAATCCAGCGTCCCGACCGGGACTAGAACCCAGTGTGCCAGTGCCGCAAGGTGGAGGATTAGCCTAGTGAGCCACGGCGCTGGCCGCAATTTTTTTAATTTTTAAAATTTTTTTAAAGATTATTTTATTTATTTATTTGAGAGGTAGAGTTACAGACAGTGAGAGGGAGAGACAAGAGAGAAAGCCCTTCCTTCCATTGGTTCACTACCCAGAAGACCACAATGACCAGAGCTGTGCCAATCCAAAGCCAGGAGCCAGGTGCTTCTTCCTGGTCTCCCAAGTGCATGCAGAGGCAGAAGCACGTGGGCCATCTTCTACTGCTTTCTCAGGCTATCGCAGTGAGCTGGATTGGAAGAGGGGCAGCCAGGACTAGAACCGGCACCCATATGGGATGCCAGTGCCACAGGCAGAGGATTAATTACTGTGCCATGTAGCTGGCCCGTAAACAGCTATTTTTGAAAGAGTGGTTATATTTTACATTCTAAAGATTCCCTAGAAACTTTTCTCCAAAAACTTGAAATATTCAAGATATTCCAGGTTTAATTAAATCATATGCTACTAATAGGATTTTTGGAAAATTTCACATTTGATTCTTACTACATATTTCATCTTCACCTGGTTTCAGGATGAGATAAACAAGATCATTTCTTAACATTGTTTAGAAGTTTCATTTTTTTCCTTTGACATTCATGACTTAACTTTAAACAAAGTTTACCTTTTCTATAAAATACAAACATTTACCATGTTTGATTCTTGTGTGTTTTTTTCTGTACTGTCCTATGTGAATGCATGGCCTGATACACAGATAATTGTGGGGTCACATAGATGACTGTGCAACTCCCTGGCCCTAAATATGTTTTCCAAGGGTACAATTCAATGCAATATTTTTGAGACATATCCAGGATGCTTTGTTTAGTTCTTCCACTGCTTTCATCCACAGCAGCAATAGCAATTAGTGATTAGACCTTCCTCTTGGCTCCTATAAGCCCACTTTACTTGTAAATGCAGTGACTGCTGGATTCTACTCAACCACTCTTTGTATTCCATTTCTAAGTCTGTCTCAAAAGTTCCTTAAGTCTCAATGCTTCACCTGAAGTTGCTTAATCTATACTCCTAGCCCTCACCTCATAGCTCAGGTCATTTCTTACTTCTCTTTCATTTCTCATAGGTTAAATCTTCAACTATACCCACATAAACCGTTACCTGATGGGGATACCTTTGCAGACAACTAGTCTAGTACGTTTGCTAATGATTCTAAAGGGTGTGTCTTTGATCCTAGTGTTGTTTTCTAATATTGATACTAGATGTGTTAGGATGTTGACCAGCGTACTTCATGTTGAAATTCTTTTCTAATGCAAGACTTTTCACAGGCATCAAATTATGGGTCACTTCCATTTTCGTTGGAATCCCCTCTGCCATAGATACAACTTTAGCAGTCTGTTGAGGTTCTTTTCAGACACAAACCTAACTATATTACTTGGAGGCCTGAGTCAAATATCTCTATTTCCCAATCCAAAATCTTCATTTCCAAATTGTGTCCATAAAATATATCAACCCAATTACTCTCTGGTAGATGAGAACCTCCATTCGTGAGATGAGAACCTTCTGGAAAATTAGTTGCTATTGAGTTGGTCAAATGCCATCGATTATTATGCTTTTGACAGAGAGGGTACCCTTGAAAGTGACTAATAATTCTATGCCATATTCCTAAGTCATTTCTACAAGAATTTACAGAAAATACCTCAAGAATTATGAACAAGCTTAATAGCCATTGCACACTGATATGAACTGAATAAAGTAAGCCAGTGCAAAGGCTGATGATCACAGTAGGGGAAAAGCTTGTTTCTAAACATGCAGTTGTGGTAGCACTATGTCACTCTGCAAAGCCATGTCATAGTAGTCATTTTTTAAAATTTTAATTTTTTTAATTTTTTTTGACAGGCATAGTGGACAATGAGAGAGAGAGACAGAGAGAAAGGTCCTCCCCCTGCCTTTGGTTCACCCTCCAATTGCCATCACAGCCGGTTGCTTCGGCCGGCACACCACGCTGATCCGAAGGCAGGAGCCAGGTGCTTTCTCCTGGTCTCCCATGCGGGTGCAGGGCCCAAGCACCTGGGCCATCCTCCACTGTAATCCCGGGCCACAGCAGAGAGCTGGCCTGGAAGGACAACCGGGACAGAATCCGGCGCCCCAACTGGGACTAGAATCTGGTGTGTCCGCGCCGCAGGCAGAGGATTAGCCTATTGAGCCGGCCATTTTTATGTAGTCATTTTTATCTTTTACAACTATTTCCTTTTAAAAATCCAGAGGAAGTATATTCCATGGTGAAAATAAAGCTCCCACAAGAATTTCGTATCCATTCTTGATTAGGAATAAAATTCATAGTATCAAAATAACTCATCCTCAAGTACTCACTGAAGAGTTAGGATTATAGTTGAAATTCAGAATCATACATGTATCACTATTCAACATTTATGGCAGTGTAAAAGACATTATGGATTATAGCGGCTTTTCCCCCCCATAATCACCCTTCCACCCGCAACCATCCCATCTCCTGCTCCCTCTCCCATCCCTGTGGTGGCTTTTCTCATTATACTATGACTCTAGATTAAGTGGACTGTCTGCTTTTGGTGGATCTTTGGAGGCTTGTGATTGGTGTGGCCAGAGAGCTCTGTTCAGTTCTTAAGGGTTAAGGGTGTGCCAAAGGTGACACATCTAGGTTTGGTGTGGTAAATCTCTCTCTCTCTCTCTATTCAGAAGTGAAGTAATTACTCACAGCTGAGCTATGCTTGAAGGCAATCAGTGAGCACTAGCCCCTGTGGGTATAATATTCATGTGCTCTGTCCCAAGGACCACACAAAGGATCTGTGCAGTTCTCAGTGTAACCTCAGATTCCCTTGCAATCGCCCACCAGGTTGCCAAGGTTACCAAGTTTGTGGCTTCTCCCACTGAGTACTCACGTCTCAGGTCCTCTGTTTTCTCACACACCCTCAGTTTTTTTTTTTTTTTTTCACAGTGCCAGTTCATAAGCTCCACACATTCACTAGGTCTTAACTTGCTGTTATTTCTCCCCACCAGAGTCAGGTTTTTTGCCTGGCTGAGGGCGAGCGCAGCCCTGAGGTGGCACAGTTTTACGTATATCCAAAATGGTGCCTGCTCTTTGACTTGCTCGCCTTTGTAAGGTGAGTGGAGAGAAAGAATCGTGTCCATATCAGTCCCTTTTATTTTTTTTTTTCTCTCCTCTAGTTAGCCTGGTGAACTTTCCCCCATGGGGCTTCAAGCCTCGTTCCCTCTAGGCTCTTCCTGCTACTTTTCTGCCAGTGTCTCTGGCTGAGATTTCGCCTCACCTCCCTTTCCAGCGCTGTTGCCTAGACTCAGTGGCTGGGGTCCCGAGCCGTGGGTGCCCGTGCCTTCCACATAGGTCCACCGTGTCCTACTACTTCCAGAAGAGTTTCCTCTGCAGTTTTTTCCCTAACTCTTCCCTGAAACTACAGTATCTCCACTTGTATTAAACTATCTTTTCCCAGACTATCAGTGTGCTCCCTCCCTATTCCACCATCTTGGATGAAGCCCAAGAAGGGCTATTGACACAATAAATTTCAATGTACTTGTCTCCTGAGGTCACTTAATTCCTTCTTCAATTTCTGGATTTCAGTTTCTGAGTTCATACAACATCTTCTTACATTATCCGGTGAAACCTAGGATACAAATTTTTTTTTAACATTTTTTTATTTAAAAGACTTACAGACTTTAAAAGACTTATTTAAAAGACTTACAGAGATAGACAGACAGCTCTTCTATCTCCTGATACACTCCCCAAATAACCGCAATGGCCAGGGCTGGGCTAGGCTGAAGCCAGGAGCTTCTTCTGGGTCTCCTATGTGGGTACAGGGTCCCAAGCAATTGGGCCAACCCCTGCTACCTTCCCAGGTACATAAGCAGGGGGCTGGATCAGAAGTGGAGCAGCTGGAGCTCAAATCAGAGTCCTTCCATGTGGGATACCAGCAGTGCACATGGCAGCTTAACCCACTATGCCGCAATGCAGGCTCTGTTTCTTTGTTTTTTTTTTTTTGTGGATTTTGTTTTTTATTTTTTAATTTTTTTTGCATATCAGTCAGCTAATGTATCAGGTTACTATTCCCTGGTAAGATATTTCTGTTACTATTTCCTAAGTCACTTCATTAAGTCATTTTACCAATATAAATTCTAAGTTATATACAAATGGTCCCAGATTTGTGATGCTCCCCCTCAACCACATAATCACAAGGGAAAATGACCAACACTGTAGGGTACTGTGCTAAGCTAGGACAATGGGTAGGTTGGGTATATAACAGTATTTTTGTCTTCACTATATTTTCACCTTAACAATGCATTTATCAGGACACAATTCTGCCAAATGCCAAGGAACATCTGTGCTTTGAAAAATGTCACCACATCATCACTCTCCATCTTTCCTCATGCATACACAGGCCTGTTTATTACTGAATTCAACACTGAGGGTGTTCTCTTCTTGCCTAATCAGTATTATGCTTCTTACCAGATTCAGCCCACTATCCATGTCTCCTTTCATGAAGATGCAACATATAACAACCCAGTCAAGTATCAAAAACATTTAGAGGCCTGTGCTGTGGCATAGACGGTAAAGCCACCAACTGCAGTGCTGGCATCCAATATGGGCACCCGTTCAGGTCCCGGCTGCTCCACTTCCAGTCCAGCTCTCTGCTGTGCCCTGGGAAAGCAATGGAGTTGGCCCAAGTCCTTGGGCCCCTGCATCCATTTGGGAGACCTAGAAGAAGCTCCTGGTTCCTGGATTTCAATTGGCACAGTTCTGGCCATTGCGGCCCTTTGGGGAGTGAACCAGCAGATGGAAGACCTCTCTCTCTCTCTCTCTCTCTCTCTCTCTGCCTGTGCTTCTCTCTCTGTGTAGCTCTGACTTTCAAATAAGTACATACATCTTAAAAAAAACATTAAGTATGTGACTAGAACTCGTGTAAATTCTACAATGCTGAATAATTTCCCTCTTACAATAGAGGAGCAAATTAGTATCAGAGTTCTCACATTTACTGGTTTCTTAAGTGCTTCCAATAGATTGCCCTCTCAGAATAGGAATGGAATTCCTATGACTTTCAAGGCTGTAGCAAAGGTGGCCTGCACCTTCTTTCTTGACCTCAGCTCCTACATTTCTCTCCCCTACCTCAATGACACAACTGGACATTCTCTGCTATTCATCAATTCCTTTGCAGGCTCTCAGAGCCTTAAAATGCAGATTCCTTGCAAAATTAATAGATAATGTGTAATGTACTTCACCAAAAACATTTGTGATGAAAATATGTACAAGGCCACACAAATAAGGAAACAGAAAATTATATAGATGGCTTGTGTGAAAAATATGAATCATTTGTAAAAGTCAAAGAAAGAAGTAAATATCATAAGAAATAAATATGTGTCTGGTATCTTCACCCTATTTGTCCAAATCTGAAATGTTTGGAAAAAACTTATGAGTTTATCAATAAAATAAAATGAGTTTTTCTGTCTCTTTTAATCTTTACAACAACATATATTACATGCAACTTCTGAGCAGTGTAAATGTGTAGCAACTTTAACATGATTTTCATCATTACTCCGGAATACTGGAATGTAATGTCAAAACATCCTACTTATTGATGGCTAATCTCAAAATATTCATATTATTTAGGTTTGAATATTCATGGAAAGCCAAGACATTGTGGCAAAAAATGACCTAAATGAAAGATCTCTGTGAGAGAGATCTCGGTGGAAAGAAGGGACCATTAAAGAAGGAGGTACCTTTCTCTGAAGGGAGGGGAGAACTTCCACTTTGATTATGGCCTTGTCTAAATAATGTCAGAGTTTGTGGACTCAAGAGGCTTCCATAGCCTTGGCAGCTCATGATGAGAGCCTCAGGTGATCACTGATGTCATAAATAAGGAGTGTCAATTGTTAAATCAAGAACAGGAGTCACTGTACACTTATTCCCCTTGTAGGATCTGTCTTTAATGTGTTATACTATGAGAATTAATGGTAAAAATATTCTTCAGACAGTTCTTTATACTTTGTGCATCTGTGTGGGTGACTGTTGAAATTTTTACTTAGTATACACTAAGTTGATCTTCTGTATATAAAGATAAATAAAAATGAATCTTAATGAAGAATAGGATGGGAGAGGGAGTGGAATAGGAGATGGGATGGTTTGTGGATGGGAGGGTGGTTATGGGGGGAAAACTGCTATAATCCAGATTTGGCCAGCATAAACATTTTGCTTTTCTTTTCTACTGCAAAACTTTCAGATTATAGTCTGTCTCTGCTTTCTTTTGAGTACTTCTCTCTTGCATACAGCTATGATCGTAAGGCAGTCTTCTGAAGTTCTGTCAGATGTACTTTCAACTATATCAATTGGAGTCATGCAGAGCTATGAATAGTTCCCAATTCATACTTTTTACTACAAAATGGTGTCCATGAAATAATATCCTAACTCTCTGGTAGAGAATACATGAAATGAACATTCTGGAAAACTTTAGGGGTCACTGATTAAGTGGGTAAGAAACTTATTAAACAGTTGATTTCTGGAATAAATTTCAAAATGATAATATTTCTTTTTTTCTATGATAAATTACTAATTTTTCCAAGAATTTAGAAGAAATTTTTCATTATTTGAACAAACTCAACTTATTGGGTACTGCATCTAACTTTGAATGTTGAACTCCTTAACATATTTTTGTATGGTAATAAAGTAAAGAGACATCTCTTGGCATTCTTATCTACAAAAGACCCATTATCAACATACTGTCATGTCATCTATTTTGAACTAATTTTTATAGATATAGAAAAAAATAATCTTTCAGTGTTTCCTAATTTGTGAACATGAACAGTCAATATAAATGTTCTTAATCTCCAGATAACAGGATCTATATAATTTAACTGCCATCTACTCATTGTCACTTAAGGAAACTAATTAGTAAAATCAGTGACCTCATTGCTCAGTTATCAGTGTTTACATGCAATCTTGTGATCGCAATCTTGTGATCACAATCTGTATGACATAAAGACATGAATGATAACCCTGTTTCTCTTGTACATAGTTATACAGTATTCATTATCCACCTATAAATTGGAATCCATGGATCATATTTCAAGATTTTGTGAAACTGAACTAAGTTTTTATACAGATTGATGAACACAGACTACCAGAGAAAAGTCTGTTTCTGAACCAGAAGTGCTTAGAATGCTCTGTCACTATGTAAGACAGTGCTGGAGTAGTCATTTCTCAATATGTCCTTTTAGAAACACAAAGAGTTGAAGTAACACATTCCTTGTAGTGCAAAAGGATGTATAATGATCTAGTATCCATTCTGGAAAAAGAATGTAACTTACACCCTAGAAAGTAATTCATTCTCATAATCTCACTGCAGAGCTTAGATTTAAAAAGAAGATATTCATGGCCTGGCACTGTGGTGTAGCAGGTAAAGCCATTGCCTGCAGTACTGGCATCCCATATGAGTGCCAGTTTGAGACCCGGCTGCTCCACTTCCAATCCAGCTCTCTGTTATGGCCTGGGAAAGCAGCACAAGACGGCCCAAGTCCTTGGGCCCCTGCATCCACATGGGAGACCCAGAAGAAACTCCGGGCTCCTGGCATCAGATTGGCACAGCTCTGGCCATTGCAGCCAGATGGGGAGTAAACCAGAGGGTGGAAGACTTCTCTCTCTCTCTCTCTCACTCTCTCTCTCTCTGCCTCTCCTTCTCTCTCTGTGTAACTCTGACTTTCAAATAAATAAATCTTTAAAAAAAGGAGGTATTCACAATTATAGATGACATAATTATTCAACATTATTGCATTTTAAAAGTACTCTAAATATTAGCAGGGGCTCCAAGTAACAGCTGTACACCCATGGCCATAGCAAAATTAGTCAAGGTAGACCAAAGATACATAATGCAAATACACATCAACTGATAAAAGAATACAAAAGATATACTAAATATAAAATGTTATTTTCAATGTATCACAATGTTTAATTAAAAACTTACTACCAAAATAATTTACCTTTTATAAAGCTAAGTGGAATTGAACTGGTAGTAGCAAGTAGTGTTTGCATAAATACATTAAATATACTTATCAATGAGAATATTCATATTGGCTAAAATATTTCTACAACCTCCTAACAGAGAAATAAAAACTCCTTTACAGTATGGTGAGAAGAGACTGACTTACTGAACTTGGTCTTATCAGGTACTTCTGTTGCTCTTCAATTCTGTTTGCCTGAACTTTGATGGTATCTTTTAATACTGAATTTTCATATTTAAGCCTAAAATGAATATCAAAAAATGTTCTTACACATCAATCTAAATATACACATTAATTTTTGAACAAACATTTGAAGGTGTAATTATGTAAATTCTTAAAAATTTAAAAAGTAAACTATTTGATGACTCTATTATGTTTTCTTGTGGGTTAGTATGGATACGGTGTAACGAACAATTACAGAATATGCATAATTCAAAGTAGCTTAAAAAGAACATTTTTGCCAGGCTTCACATACATATATTTATAATGATAAATACATGGTCTATTTCTCATTTTCTTTGATTTCACTGCTTTATAAATGAACTCCAGTTATTTTGCAAGATACCTTGCATTATAGTGTTCAAGGTGATCTTGTAACTTCCTTGCATTTTGTACCTCTTCTTGGTGTAGTGCTGCTGCTTCCTGGAACTATAACAATAAATTTTTGAAACGTCTTACAAGTAGCTTGTAGAAATCTGATAATCACCTAGTTTTTACTTATTTATTTGAAAGGCAGAGTTACAAAGAGAGTGTGAAAGACAAAGGGAGATCTTAAATCTGCTAGTTCACTGCCAAAATGGCCCTCAAAGGATGGGTCTGGGCCAAGCCAAAGACAGGAAGCAGGAACTTCACCTGGGTCTCCCACATAGGCAGCAGGGGCCCAAGCTCTTGACTTGAACCAGTGCCCACATGAGATACCTGCATTGCAGATGGAAACTTAACCTACTACACCACAAAACCAGCCTACATTAACTTGTTTTGCATCTAAAATTTACAGTAATGCCTGTACATTTGCATAGTGCTCATGTGTACATTTATGCTGTAACTGCAGTGTTTACTTGTTGCAACAAACTTCACCTGACCCAATATCTACAATAATACAATGGTCCAGAAACAGTATCATTGATTTCATATTCAAATAAATTTTGACATTTCAGTCAGGTGGCATGACAATGAAAATGGTGTCTTATACAAGTTGTATTCAATTCCTGCAGACACAGTAGTAGGTGGCATCCAACTGGGGAGATGGAGGCAAGAATACACCCCAGGCCCTGAATAACACTTTCACCATTTCCATGAGCCAACAATATTTTTTCCACTTAACAGTTTGTAGACAAGTTTCTCTGTGTACTATTTAATGGGGGAAGGGTCATTCATGGGGGGCCAGTATTGTGGCATAGTATGCTAGGCCTCCGCTTGCAGCACCAGCACCCCTTATGGGTGCTGGTGTGCGACCCATAATCTGTATCTTAGAACACTTGTATATTAAACTAGCTCTAGACTTCCTACTGACATGCCAAATATCATACGTACTTTTCTGTTGATTTCACCTAACTCGTCCATTATATCCTTTGTCTTATTGTTCAACTTATAGTAAAAACACGCCATATCTTCCAGGGATGCTTCTGATTTAGACTGTCTTTGCTGAAGCTCATCATGTTGCTGCTGCAGGTGTTTCACATCTACCTGATAATATATGTCTGTTAGTATTTTATAATTCACCTCACTGTCAAATAAGGTTTATATTTCACTCAAAGGTATACACAACTGGTAGAGTTTTTGTGATGATTTTGATTTGTGAGTTGTCATCTTTATGATGGTGTGTAAGTAATAAATATCCCATTGGACACGTATGAGCTAGCAATATGCCATGCTATATCTCTCAGGATGCTAGCCAGCAGTAGTGATTTGCAGCTCCCAATCAGCCACACAATCGCAAGGGCCAATGACCAGCACTCTAAGTGTTAACAACCTGCTAAGCTAGAATTTTGAGGAAGTTATGTGTATTATATATTTTTGACTTATTTTCAATTTAACAGGTATCACCCTATCAAATGCCAATGAGCATTTGTAGTTTCATAATATAACCACCTACAGCAAATCATATTAATATTCATATTCTCTATGTATATACATTTATGATTACTGAACTCAGGTAACACAGAAACAGTTATTTTCCTGCCCAATCAGTATTATTTGATTCATCCAACAGCTTCAAGTCACTGTTTCTCCCCGATACATTTGTAACATTTAACCTATTGAAGTATCATAGAGCAATGAGTATGTGGCTGGAATTAGACTTCATTTGAATCTACAGTGTTGAACTATTTTCCTCTCTTTAGTAACTTTGGAGTTACTCACACATTGTCAATTCTTTGCTCAAATCCTTCCAATAGATTCTTATTTCAAAACAAGAATGAAATTGCAATGGCACTTAAGGCCCCAGGCAAACTTGGCCTCCACCTTTATCCTTGTTTTATCTCCTACAACCCTCTCCTCTACTTATACCCTGAGATTCATGAATCCTGCAGGTTTTCCTATCAAAATGGGGATCCAATGCCAAATTAATGAACCACAGAAATCTATAATATTTTTGAACTGGAAAATTATATCCAAATAATACTATTGAGCCTTGAAATGAAAAGTAATAAACAAATTATCTGTAAAAAGTGGTCAAAGTCAATCAAAAAAATCTTGGAGAAACTGCAAATAAATAAAATTTTCATAAAATCACTCCCAATTTTTCACAATCATAATTTCTAACACTTCACAAGTATCACAGAGCAATCAGTATGTTGGTACACTAGAACTTGTGTACTTCTACAGTGTTCAATGACGTGTAGATTGTAAGCAAGTTACTTGTAAAAAGTGGTTAAAATAATTAATAATTTAATAAAATGGATGGACCATTATAAAATTGTTGAGAGGTTATAAGAACACATCAGTTGACAGTGAAATGCCTTTCAGTTGAAGACAAAATGGATATGAATAACAAATTATACCAACTAAAATAGATAAAAAAATTACAAGAGAAAGGTATTATGTGGTGCAGCATCTATGCTTTTGCTCATCTGGAAATCTTCTATGAACTGTCAAGGCAACCCGCATAATTCAAAGTTATTTCAAAATACTCCTTTCAGGTCTGAGCATTGCTGTTGGATTCATCATGGTCTTAAATATGGCAAGATAAAGACATTAAAATTATTATTTTAGGAGTATTGAATTCATTATTAATATTAGCCTATATGTGTAATTAATAATTTGAAAGCATCAAGGGGACATAGTGTCTTAAGTAAAGTATCTCTCAGGTCCAAATTTATTTCCTGAGGCAAGTTTATTTTTAAGCAGATAAGCAAATGCATTTCTAACGTACATAAATTTATATTTACTGCATTTCAATATTTATCCATAATCACGTATGACTGAATTTTCTTTCCTGGAGTTTAAAATTATTTCATTTCCCTGATACTTCTATTTTGTCTTCACAGATTCTATAGTCACTTCACTATTAAATGCAACAATCTTTGAATTTACTCATCTATTCCCTAGAATTTTCTCAGTTTGTTAACTCCCAATTCTTAGATTGCCTATCTATATTCTGAGCCCTGTCCTCTTACTGTCCTCTTAACTGAGTTTGCTTTAGTCTCCTCTTCCTTCCTTCCTTCCTTCCTTCCTTCCTTCCTTCCTTCCTTCCTCCCGCCCTCCCTCCCGCTTTCTTTCTTTCTTTCTTTCTTTCTTTCTTTCTTTCTTTCTTTCTTTCTTTCTTTCTTTCTTTCAGACAGGCAGAGTTAGACAGTGAGAGAGACAGAGAGAAAGGTCTTCCTTCCATTGGTTCACCCCCCAAATGGCCACCATGGCCGGTGCACAGCGCCGCAGCCAGGAGCCAGGCACTTCCTCCCGGTCTCCCATGTGGGTGCAGGGCCCAAGCACTTGGGCCATCCTCCACTACCCTCCTGGGCCACAGCAGAGAGCTGGACTGGAAGAGGAGCAACCAGGACAGAACTGGCGCCCCAACCGGGACTAGAACCCAGAGTACCGGCACCACAGGCGGAGGATTAGCCTAGTGAGCTGCAGCGCCGGCCTTTAGTCTCCTCTTTCTATCGTACTTTGCAGAAATCATATCCTTATCCACATGTCCATAAAGACTTATTTCTGTGGATTACTTTGGAGACAGTTAAGCCTCTACATTTTATCCTGATTCTTATGGATGTGTCTCTGAGAGTTGTGTTGCTTTCTAATCTTGGGGACACCCTCACTGTTAGGAACTTGACCACCACAAATCATCTCACTTTTCTTTTCCATTACAAATCTTTCACAAGCCAGATAATGGATTCTCTCTGCTTTCTTTTGAATATTTCCCTCTTCCATAGAGATATGATCCTAGAGAACACTTCTGAAGTCTTTTCATATATACACTCAACTAGATCAACTGGAGTAAGGAAGCACTCTGCACACTACCCTATTTGGGCTTGTTACTACAATTTTGTGTTCATGATATAAGATCCTAATTCTCTGGTTAGAAAAATCATTTAATGAGAGCATTCTGGAAAACTTTAGTGGCTACTGATTGAGTGGGTAGAACCAACTCTTATTAAACACTTGATACCAAGATTTCCAACTGACAAGTAATTCTATGACATATTCCTAACTAATTCCTCCAAGAATTCATAAGAAATCCTTCATCTTTAACAAACTCCATAGCTATTTGGCACTGCAACAAAGTTTTGAACATTGAATTCCTTCTCATATTTCTGTATGACAATTAAGGTAAAGGGACATCTGGCATTCTTACCCACAAAAATCCATCATCAACACCCTGTCATGGACATAGTTTGAACTAATTTACTGGAAGTCTAGAGTAAAAGAATGTTTCAATGTTTCCTAATTCATGAAAATGGTCAACACAAATGTTCTTGTTCTGTAGACATAAATACCTTCATAATGCAACAGCACTCTATTGTCACTTAAAGAAACTAATTGGTAAAATCCATAATCTCATTCTTCCATATAAGTGTTTATATGTAATCTTGTGAGAGTAATTTTTATGAAGAAGGACATGAAAGACAGGGTAATCCTGTTTTACTTGATAAATTTTTATATGGTATTCACTATCCATCAATTGGAATCCTGGATTACACACCTATCTTTTATGAGATTGAACTAAGTCCTTATAAAGGCTGATGAACGTAGACTAACAGGTAAAAGTTTGGTTCCGAACCTGCAGTGTTCAGAGCATTATGAAACTCTGTAAGGCCATAATGCCAGAGTAGTCATTTCTAGATAACCAATGACACTATTTGCTTTTAAGAACCCAAAGATGTAACATTCCTTGTGGTGAAAAAGCATGTATAATGAACCAGTATCCATTCTGGATAAGGAATACAACTTACACTCTCAAATAAATGTACTATTAAATCCCAATGAAGAGTTTAGATTTTAACCAAAGAGATTCAGAATTCCACACCATGTCATCACTTGACTTTATTCACACTTCAAAAGGTACTGTAAATATTACTAGGGACTCCATGTGACATTTCTACAACCATGACCATTGCAACACTACTCACAGTATACCAAAGGTAGAAATCATGGAAATGTCCATCAACTGACGAAAGGATATAAAAAATCCACTGTAAACAAAATATTGTTTTCTAATGTAACACAATTAGAATTTTAAAATGTAATCTGACTACTTAAACAATTTTATGAGTTCAGTCCATTCCTTCTATAAGGGTTAGCAGATTTGCACTGGTAGTAGCAAGTAGTATCTGTATAAATACAGAAAATATACTTATCAATGAGACTTGTCTGATTAGGCAAAGTATTTTCCCAATCTCCTAGCAGAGATACAGAAACACCTTCTCAGTGTGACAGAGGTTAAGAGACTGACTTACTGAACTTGGTCTTATCAGATTTTTCTGCAGCTCTTCAATACTGCCAGCATGCAGTTTGACGATATCTTTCATTTCCAAAATTTCAGACTGAAGCCTACAATGTACATGGAAAATATTTTCACCCATCAATCTAAGCATACACATAATTTCTGACTAAGCATCAGAAGGCAATATTGTGTAAATTCTTAAAATTGGAAAAGTATGGCCTGTTTCTTGTTGTCCATGGCTACTGTGCTTTATAAGGACTCAAGCTAGTTTGCATAGTACCTTGAATTGTAGTGTTCTAGATAATCTTGTGTCTTCTTTACATTTTCTACCACTCCTTGGTGTAGATTTTCTGATACCTGGAACTAAAACAAAGGATTAAAAAAAAGTTACCAGCACCTGGTACAAACTGCTCACTACCTGGTTTTGCCATTAAAATTTTACTGGAAATCACAACACTTCTTCATTTGCATATTGTTCATGGCAACATTCATGCTGTAACTGCAAAGTTGACTTGCCAACAGACATCACTTGGTCCAATATCTAAAATAATATGATCTGGTCAAGAATTGTTCTTACTCATTTCATATTTTGATACATTTTTGACATTTCAAAAAGGTGGCATGAAATGAAAGTGGTCTTTTATACAAATTACACTTAACCCTTGCTTTCACAATTTAAAAGCACTTGGGCCATCTTCTGCTATTTTCCCAATGGGAAAGATGAAGGCCAGACTACTTCCCCAGTAATGCATAAAATTGTCAGTGCTTTCAATAGTCACCAGTGTTTTTTCACCTTATAATTTACTGACCACTTACTCTCTGCACTACTTCCTGGGTAATGATAATGTAAACAGGATTCCTAGATTGAGTAGCACATACTTTGTAGACCATAAGACACAGACTCAAAGCACAGACCTGAAAATATTGGAATCAGTGGCTAAATGAAGTTTCCAAAATCAATTCATTCTTATGCTGCCTTACAAGCACTCTGTAGATAGCATAACAGTATACATTTGGATCTATTAGTGAATCTGTAGCCAGCAGAAAAAAGAGCTATGAAACAATAAATCCCAGTTCTGGCTAGTTCATGAAAGAAAATAGTTAAATTTTTTTTTTTCTTACTGAGTATAGACTGAGTTTTTGATAGATAAGTTCTCCTCTACAGCAATCAAGTGTTTTGATTTTATAATTTGTTGCTTAAAGGACAACTTTAAAAACTTTAAAAGCTTCACCTTAAAGCTTTATTCATAATGCTTATGTCAATGCCTCAAAGAAGAAAATTCAGCAGGTCAGTGTTGTGGCACAGTGGGCTAAGCTGCCTCTGTGATGCTGGCATTCCAGCCCTTGCTGGTCCTCTTCTGACCCAGCTCACTGCTAACTGACAGGGAAAACAGCAGAGGATGGCCCAAGTGTTTAGGTCTATGCCACCCACGTAGAGACCTGCATAGAGTTCCATGCTCCTTGCTTTGACCTGGCCAGCCCCAACAAATGTGGAAAGTTGGTGATTAGAACAACAGATGGAGGAAATCTCTTTTTCTTTCAGCTTCTCCCTCTATCTGATTTTTCCTTTCAAATACATAAATACATGTTCAAAAAGAATAAATTTCTGAAATGATATAAATTGTTTATACTTTTAGTCTAACAATTGATAAGCTAAAATATGTTCAATCAACACAAAGATAGGTGGCATCCATGTCAGTTAAAATCCCCTGAGGAAAATTTATATTCAGACAAGATTATTTCCCATGAATAAAAATAAAAGCAGTTTAAAAGTAAGGTCTATGCTGTTCCATAAAAACTAGATGACAAATATTGAAAAGTGTAAGGTCAAAATGTGACAGAAGGAAAAGCTTATTGACAAAAGGGAAATTTGGGGCTGGGTCTGGATAAATATGTTTAGGTGAACAGAAACAAAGACAGGACAGCATAAAGAATGGTGGAGAAATGAGAAAACAGGCCCAATTAACTCCAAGTTTGATTAAATCCAATGAAATGATTGAATGTGTCCATACAATAACTTGGAAATGAATGTCCATGGCAGCATGCAGTGGAAACATTCTACATGTCCATGCATTGATGAGCAGATAATTTGTACAGCAGACTTATACTCTGTTAGATAATAAAATGTTATTTAATAATAAAAAGAAGTATTGATAAATGTTATGCCATGGATGGATCCTGAAATTAGTATACTAAGTGAAAAAAGCCAGTCATAAAGGGCGACATGCTGTATAGGACTCTATGTATATGAAATGTTCATAGCAGGCAAATCATTGGAGAAAAAACACTTCCTTTTTGTAGGAAAAAGGAAGAAAAAAGGACTGAAGGAGTGATGCATAAGTGACACAGAGTTTTACTTTATGGTGACTGAAATATTTAAAAACTGATTATGGTGATGGATATCCCACTTTGGGAACCTATTATGGATATTGAATTTTATTAATCTGAATGGTTGAAGTCTACATAGGTGAAATATATGAGCAGTCATAAAAATATTTGTGCAAAAAGTAGGCTTAAGAGATGTCAGTTTAAAGGTAAAATGTGTGAATTCAATTCATACCTTATACATGCTGCACGTATCCCAAGAAGTTTATGAAGCACCACTATATCACAATAAATCAGTTTTTAAAACTCCAATGGCAGGATATTAATAATTTTCTTAATTTTAAATTTTGGAAGTATAGACTACACAGGATATGAATATGCCATGCATAAAAACAGACACTTATTATGTGTATAGATAACATACATTATACACACTTATAATGTGTATAAATAACATATATGTGAATGATAAACACGGTTTTCAATTAGACTGCAAAATATTTTAAAATGTGCATTTCAGCATAGTATAAAGTATTTTGAGAATTTATTCTGAAATACACAGGATCAATAAACATAGGTTCTGTATCCATTCACATAAGTGAAACAAGAAATGTATTTTTTGAGAATTCTGCAAGATTTTATCCTCTGATTCAATCTGCCTTGTTTTATCATGACAATTGATACCACTGAAAATATTGAGAAAAATGTGCATTTTCTGTGAAAAATGATATATATTCCTCAAGTTTTTAACAGTGAATATTATTTTAATAAAGAATATAACAATACATAGAGTGGATATCAGAGTTTAAGAAGTAAGTGCATAATGATAAAATTGTGCCAAGATTTTCACATTCAAATAAAGCAGGGTCTTATGATATTTGTATCTGGAAACTCTTAGCTCTAGAATTCTTATTGACATGCTAAATATCATACATACTTTTCTGATGATTTCATCTAACTTGTTCATTATATCCTGCATCTTGCTGTTTAACTTAAGGTAAAACTGTGCCATCTCTCTCAGCGATGCCTCCGATTTACATTGCCTTTTCTCAATGTCATCCTGTTGCTGCTGCAGGTGTTTCATATCTACCTGATAAGATATGCGTGTTACCATTTTATAAGTCACTTTATTGTTAAATAATGGTTATATTTCATTCAAAGATACATACAACTGGTCTGATTTTTGTGATGGCTTCACTTACGATTTTTCAGCTTTAGGATGGCAATTAAGTGATAAACATTCCATAGGACACATACTTTGAATTTTGACCTTTTCCTGAGCTAGCAATATGCCACACTATTTTCTCTCAGGATGCTAGCCAGCAGTAGTTTTTTGTAGCTCCCAGTCAACCACACAAACACAAGGACAAATGAAGAACACTCTAGAGTGTAACGTGCCACTAAGCTAGCATATTGAGGAAGTCCAGTGTGTTACACACTTTATTGACTTGCATTTTCAATTTAGCAATGGGATTACCAAGGAATCACCATATCAAATGACAAGCAGCATCTGTACTTTAGGTACTATCACCACATACATCACTTCACCTTCTTTTCCTCAATTGTACACATTTTTATTAATTATTGAAATCAGGTAAGACAGAAGGTGTTATCTCCCTGCACAATCAGTAATGTATTAGCCAACAGACTCAGTTCTCTATCTCCGTCCTGATAAATCTGCAACACTTAACAACCTACTGAAGTATCACAGAGCAATGCGTATCTTGTATCTAGAGCTGGTATAATTCTACAGTGTTGAACTATTTTCCTCTTTTTAGTAACATCAGAATTCCTCACACAGTCAATTCTTCGCTCAAATCCTTTGAACAGATTTCTTTTTTTGAAAAAGTAATTCCCAATAGCTTCTTAGGCCCTATGCAAATATTGCTTCTAGCTTCCTCCTGACCTCAGCACCTACAACTCTCTCCTTTGCTCTCACGACTGTGAATCATGAACTCTGCCAGCTTGCATGTCTCTGAAAACAGGAATCCAATGCCAAATTAACAATCCACAGACAGCTACAATTATCTTTGTACTGGAGAAATTATACCCATTGATAGGAACTCATCCTTGAAATAAAAATAAAAAGCAAACTATTTGTAAAAATGTTCAAACTACATCATAAATGCCAATGACAGAATTAAATCCAATGTAGATTTGGTAAAATTCCCCAAATTAAATCTGTAGATTGCTTTAGGCAGTATAACCATTTCAATGATATTAATTCTTCCATCTTTGCATTTTCTTGTGTCCTTGATAACTTCTTTCATTAGCATTCTGTAATTTTCATGTTAATTAACTATTTTGGTTAAATTTACTCCTACTATTTGAGGTTGGTTATTGTACATGGGATTTCTTTCTTGACTTATCTTTCAGTGAGTTCTAGTACTGGCATGTAAAAAAGCTAGTTTTATGTATCTTGATTTTGGTATCTTCAACTTTACTGAGTTGTTTGATCAGTTCTAACAGCTTTTTGGTGGATTGTTTAGGTTTTCCCATGTACAAGTCATTTGGAAATATGGATATTTTGACTTATTCCTTTCTAATTATGATGTCCTTTCTCCTAATTGCTCTTGCTAATTTTTCCAACACTATATTGAATAAGAGTGAAAGTACTCAAACTTGTCTTGTTCCAGATATGATGGGAAAAGTTTTCAACTTCTCCCCATTCAGTATGATATACTGAGAGTTGATTTATCATATATAGCTTTAATATTTTTAGGTATGGTTGCATCTATAGCTAGCTTACATTTTTATGTAAGGATGCTGAATCTTATCAAATGCTTTCGCTGTGATGACTAAATGGTTTTTGTTCATTCTGGTGATATTATTTGTTTATTGACTTGTGAATGCTGAACCACTCGTTCATTTCTAGGAAAAATCCCACTTGATTTGTGACATACAATCTTCTTGATGTAGTGTTGGATTCACTTTGCTAGTATGTTGTCGAGAATTTTTGCATTTATATTCATCAAGGATAATAGGTCTGTAGTAGTCTTTTCATGTTGTGTCTCTGTTCAGTTTTGGAATCAGTATGATGCTGATCTCAAAAAGGGTTTGGCAACTCCATCCTGTTCAATATTTTGGAATAGTTTGAAAAGTACTGGAGTTAGTCTCACTTTAAATGTATTGCAGAATTCAATAGTAAATCTATCAGGTTTTGTACTTTTCCTTGATAGCAGACTTTTGGTTAATCTTTCAATTTCACTGCTTCTTATGGATCTCTTTAGGCTTTCTGTATCTGGGAATTAACCCATTTCTTTGAGGTATTCCAATTTGTTAGCATAAAGTTGCTCATAGAGGGAGAGATCTTCCATTTTCTGCTTCACTCCAAAAATGGTTCCCCAAAGTCAACACAGGACCAGGTGGAGGCCAGGAGCCAGGAACTCTACCCAAGTCTCACATATGGGTGACAGTGGCCCAATAAACTGGGCCACCTTCCACTGCTTTCCCAAGTGCATTAGCAAGAACCTGGATTGGAAGTAGAGCAGTTAGGATTGATACTGCTATTCATGGGGTGCCAACATTGCAGGCCACACATTAACTTGCTGTGTCACAACACCAGCCCCAAAGTAGTTTCTTATGAGCCTTTGTATTTCAATGGTATCACCTTTAACATCTACTTTTTCACCTCTAATGTTATTTACTTGAGTTTTTTTTTTTTTTGTAATTTGGTAGTTTGGCTAAAGATTTGTCTACTCAAAAAAAAACACACACCTTTTTGTTAATAGTTAATATTGGTTTTTTGCTTCAACTTCAATTATTTCTGCTCTGATTCTTATTTATTGCCTCCTGCTAATGTCTGGTTTGTTCTTGATATTCTAAATTTTTAAGATGCATACTTAGAACACGTTTTGAGACCTTTTTAAAAAAATATGGACATTTAATGCTATAGATTTCCCTCCTAACACTGCTTTTCCCTTGTGCAAATGGAAGGGGGCAATGTGCCTTCCCTTTTCAGAGCAACTTAGTCACTCAGATCCCAGTCAGATCCCTGGACTGGACTTGAAGTCAGTGGAGACTGTGAAATTCTCCCATAGCTAGGGCTGCTCACAGTGGGAGCCACAGCATCTTCTTCCTATCTTATCCCAGCAAGACAGTGTTTCCCAACCAGAAGTCAGTCACACAGATACAAGGGATGTCCGGTGGCAGTCACTGATGACAGTGGTGTATCTGTTCTCTCCCCTAACTGCCTCAAGGAGTCTGTGTTCTGTCACTTCTCCACAGGAATTTCATTGCCCTGAGAATGACATGCTCCTTTGTTCTAGTTACTGTGACTGTTACTGTGACTGACATTAGTGAGGCTACTCATTACTCAGTCATCTTGGATGCACACTTGATTTTGTTTTTTAATGCAAAGCTTTCACAAAGTCAAGTCATGGATTTCTCCGCTTTCTTTTGAATAAGTTCCTCTTCCACAGATACGACCTTTTGAGCTTCTGAGTCTCCTGAAGTTCCGTTCAGATGTACACTCAAGTAGGTCAATTGGAGTCAACCAGAGTATGCCTCTATCCCAGTTCAGATCCACTGCTCCACAGCTGTGTCAACGAAATATCTCAACTTGGGTATTCTCTGGTAGAGGGACTCATGGGATGAGAACTTTCTGGAAAACTTACATTCCAATGAGTTGAATGAAAACTGTTTCTTATTAAACTTTTGATTTACAGGGTAGATTTCAAAGTACCTAATAATTCAATGACATTTTCTAACATTTATACAGGAATGTACAGGAAACCTCTCTTTATTTTGAAGCAGCTCAACAGCTATTAGGTACTACAACCAATTTTTGAATGTCTAATTGCTTAACATATTTCTGTATGACAATTTTATAAAGGGATGTCTTGTGGCATTTTAAAAAGTCCCATAGGAGCTGGCACTGTGGCAGAGAAGGTTAAGCCTCCATCTGCAGTACTGACATCCCATATAGGTGCTGGTTCAGGACCAAGGGGCTTCACTTCCAATCCAGCTTCCTGTTAATGCACCTAGGAAAGCAGCAGAAGATGGATCAAGTACTCGGACCCCTATATCCACATGGGAGATATGGAAGAAGCTCCTGGTTCCTGGGTTTGGCCTGGCCCAACCCTGGCCATTGTACCTATTTGGGGAGTAAACCAATGGATGGTAGAGTTCTCTCTCTCTCTCTCTCTCTCTCTCTCTCTCTCTCCCCTTCTCTTTCTGTATTTCTGATTTTCAAATAAATAAAATCTTAAAAAAGAAAAAGTCCCCTTACCAATATGCTTTCATTTCACATGTATGGAACTAAGTTCTTACAGGTCTAGAGAAAAACAATCCTTCAATTTTCCTAAGACATCAGAGAGATCAAACACCACAAATGTTCTAAACCAAACAAGCATGTGAATCTGTATAATGCAACTGCACTCTAGCTATTGTGCCTGAAGGCAATTAATTAGTAGAAACAACTACTTCATTGTTCCATATTAGTGCTTCATACAATCTTGTGACCTTATATCCTATTAAAGGAAAACATGAAGGATAAGGGAATCCTGTTTTTGTTATAAATAGTTGTAAAGCATTCACTATTCATCAATAAATTAGGATCCTAGACTACACAGCCATCTTTTCTGAGACTGACCTAAGTCAAAATAAAGGCTGATATATATAGGTTAATGGGGAAAAAGTTGATTGCTTAATCTGCAGTGCTCAGGGCATTAGGTAACTTTACAAGGCCCGGCAAGAATAGTCATTGCTATGTATTCCATATTTCTTTCATTTTAAAATACAAAGAGAAACACATATTTCTTGGGGTTAAAAAGTCCACTCAAAGACCTACTATCCTTTCTTGTTAAGAAATACAGTTTATGAGGTTAATGTTGTCACATAGTGGGTTAAGCTGATGCCTACACTGCTGGATCCCTTATGGGTACCAGTTTGAGTCCCATCCACCCCTCTTATGATCCAGATCCCTGATAAGGCTTCTGGGAAAGCAGAGGAGGATGGCATGAGAGCTTGGGCACGTGAACCCATGTGGGAGACCTGGATAAAGCTCCTGGTTCTTGGTTAGAGGCTTCAGCCTGGTCCAGCCCTAGTTGTTGTATTCTTTTGGGGAATGAATCAACAGATGAAGCTCGCTTGCTTTCTTGCTTGCTCGCTCTCTCTCTCTCCCCCCTCCCACCCTCTGTGTGTGCGTGTGCGTGTGTGTGTGTGTGTGTATCTCTGCCTTTCAAATAAATCTTTTAATAAAAGAAATATAACTTGGGGCTGCGCTGTGGTGCAACAGGTTAACACCCTTGCCTGAAGCGCTGGCATTCCATATGGGTACTGGTTCAAGACCCGGCTGCTCCTCTTCTGATCCAGCTCTCTGCTATGGCCTGGGAAAGCAGCAGAAGATGGACCAAGTCCTTGGGCCCTTGCACCTATGTGGAAGACCCGAAAGAAGCTCCTTGCTCCTGGCTTCAGATTGGCACAGCCCCAGCCTTTGCGGCCATGTGGGGAGTGAACCACCAGATGGAAGACCTCTCCACTCTCAGTGTAACTCTGACTTGCAAATAAATAAATAAATCTTTAAAAAAAGAAATATAACTTACAACATCACAATAACTTAGTCTTAAAATCTTACTGAATGCTTTAGATTATGAAAAATTCAGAATTCGCTGCTCTCATTTCTTGGGATTTCAAAACATATTAACAATTAGCAGGGACTCCAATATATAGTTATTATCAATTCCCATAGTAGCCTTATACATAATAAACAAAAGGTGAATGATTGACTTACTGAACTTAGTCTGAAAAGGATTTCCTGAAGATTTTTAATTTCCCTTGCTTGCTTTAGTATTGTATCTTTCAACTCATGATTTTCCTGATCATGCCTAAAATACATATTTTAAATTAATGATTCTCACAGATCAATTTAAGAAAATATATTTCAGAATAAACATCTGAAAGTGTTATTATGCAAATTCTAGAAATTTGAAGTCAATTTCTTGGCAAATATATCATTATTCTATCTTGCTTTGTCAATAATGCACAAAATTTAGGGATAATGTGCAAAAGCTATGCATTTAAAAATAGTTTAATACTAAAAGTTTTCCATGCTTTACTCAGAAGTATTTATGTTTAAAATGATATAATTCTCATAGTACATAGCATATATGCTTTAGAAAGACTCAAGTTATTTTGAATGGTTGTTTGAATTGTACTTTTCCAGATGATCTTGAATTTTCTCAGTGTTTTGTACCAACTCCTTTTGTTCATCTTCTGATTCTTGGAACTACAACAAAGAATAATAAAAAAAAACATGAAATTTACCAGTATCTGGTATGAATCTGGGAAGTACCTAGATTTATGACTAAAATTTCATTAGAACATAGCAATGACTCTTCCTTTTCATCTTATTCATGACTACATTTATGCTATAACTTCAAAGCTGAGTTGTGCCAACAGGGATGCTATGACCTCAAATCTAAAACAGAACTGTCTGGGCCATTACAGAAAGTTTATAGTCATCTGCTCAAGAAAATGACACAGGAGTAGACTTGGTTTTGAGTATGTTCTATCAGAAAAATTCTCAGATTTACAATATTGGCCAGTTAAAGGAATGGGAGATTACCTTATGGAAAATAGCTATAATTTTGAAATCCAAGTACAATGAAATCAACTATAATTTTAGATATTCATATGTGCAAATGACCATTGGTATCCCAGAGATCATAAAAATTAACATAATGTTATAGACAACAAATGTTTAATGGAATTTTTCAGTGGCCACACCAATAATGAAACCAGAGTGCCTGGATTCTGGCTCCACTATCTGTGTGATCTTCAGCAATTCATTTGCCCTGTGTTAGTTCTTCACCTGTAAAATGGAAATAATAGTGTCTACTTCACTTGAAAGTAGGAGGTATTAAATGAAAGGTATATGTAAAGAACTTCAAAGAAGATGTGTCACATAGTCAGGGAAATATTTCAATAGCATTATTATTATTGAATTCATGTTTGAATAAAATGACATATTTGGGAAGGGGAGCGTAGCAATAGAAGTGATCTCTTATAAAGTGATACCGAATCCTTCATACCAAAGTGGCAGCAAACTAGGAGCATGAGGCCCAGAATACATTGCCAGCTCATTATAAAGCTTTCATTAATTTTATTAGCCAACCATCCTTTATGCAACTTATAATTTATAAATTATTTTTCTGTAAACTCAGTGGGCAATAATAATGAAATACAATACAAACAGGACTCTGAATTTGAGTAGCACATATCTTACATAGCCATAAAAATTGGCCTAAATGTACTAATGAAAAGACCAGACTCTATAGCTAAATCAAATTTCCCAAATCACTCTTCATTCTCAGGTTGCTCTAGCAAGCAATCTGAGGATAGAGTGATGCTCCATGGTTTGGTGTGTAAGAAAATGTATGGCTTTTCCACTGGTAAAGAGCTGTAAAGCTACAAGTCCCAGCTCTGGCTATGTAATAAAGGGAAGCAAACTTCAGATTTTATATTCTCCCAGTGAGTAAAGCATTAGCATTTTATAGAACAATTCTCCAGAAATAGGATTAAGTATTTGAATATTGTACTTAATTGCCTAAAATGTGTTTAGAAGAAAAGCTTCATTCATTCATTCATTCATTCACTCATAATGTTCCTGTCAGTGTCTCAAGGAACACAGATGGCATGGCATAAAGTACTTAATTTTAACTTAACTGTCCAACTATAACATTTTCAATCTACACATTTATATCACATATGTCCACTTAGGCAAATTTATAGCACAACTGTCACCTTAGACAAATTATCTATTATGCAGATAAGTAAAAGCAATATAAACTTAAAGGCCACGTTATTCTCCATAAACTAGATGACAAGTACTGAAAAGAGAAAAATCGATGAGAGAACACAGAACATCCCATCAGTGAAAGGACCTCTGGAGTAGGGTCTGAATACAATGAGTACAGATCAACAGAAACTAAAATAACAGTGTGAAAAAGGAGGAGAGAGGGGGAAAACTGGCCAGAGACACTCACTTTGCTGACGTTCACAGGCAGAGAAGTAAAAAGCATATTCCATACATTAACTTGGAAATGAATGTTCATAGCAATAGCGTTAATAATAGTCAAAAAATGGAAACAGTGTTCTATCAACTGATGAAATGTTTATCAACTGATGAATGAATAATTCCTACAAAGAACTGTATTCTGCACAGTACAATATTATTTTAAAAATAATAAGAAGTATTGATAGATTCTATACCATGGATTGACCTTGGAAATGTTACGTTAAGTGAAAGAAATCAGTCATAAAGGGCTGCATATTGTAGGGATGACCTTATTTAAATGAAATATCCACATCAGGCAGATAATGAGACACTAAACGTACATGTTTGGTTGCCTAAGGACTAGGGAAGATATAGGAGCTAAAGGCAGGATGGGTGAGTGAGACAAGGTTTTCTCTCAGGATGTTAAAAGCTGTTCTAAAATTGATTGTGGTGCTGGTTATCCAACTCTGGGAATATACTATGGACATTGAGCTACACTTATTTGGATGGGTGAACTCTATGGTGTTACATGAAATATACAGATAAGAGTGTTTAAGACAGCATTTTTAAAAGTTTGTGGAAGGGAGTAGGCACAGTGGGTTAATGCCCTGGCCTGAAGTGTTGGTATCCCATATGGGTGCCGGTTCCAGACCCGGCTAGCTCCACTTCCTGTGCAGCTCTCTGCTGTTGCCTGGGAAAGCAGTAGAGGAAGGCCCAAGTCCTTGGGTCCTTGCACCCATGTGGGAGACCTGGAGGAAGTTCATAGCTCCTGGCTTCAGATCAGTGCAGCTCCAGCTGTTGCAGCCAATTGGGGAGTGAACCATTGGATAGACTACCTCTCTCTCTCTCTCTCTCTCCCTCTCCCTCTCCCTCTCCCTTTCTCTCCTCTCTGTGTAACTCTGACTTTCAAGTAAAATACAATAAATCTTTAAGAGTTTGTGGGAAATGATCTTAAAGATAAGTCAATTTTGGTGCAGAAAGTTTTGAAGTTGAATGGCAATATGTAGATGATAAAGTCTCTCATGCTTTCAGGAGGACTAGTGCAAAATCTGCAACATCCTCAAATATAAATACTATCTTTAGAAAGAATTTAAGTAGAAGAAAAATGGCAGAATAAGATGGTGTAAGAAGTCATCATACTGACAAAATTGTCTTAATTATAATAAATATTTTTTTAAAAATTACATTCACTGTGATTTTTATTCTAGTGCACATTGTTTAACTGGTATAGGTTAATTTTCATATATACTTGTCTTTGGGTTTCCCTTAATATCTTCTTTATATTCTTTATTTCATCTGCTGACTTAAAGCAGTAACTTCTTACAGCCTCCTGTCACTGCTCTGATACAGGATGTGCTTTTTGTTATCAGTCCATTGATGAAGGTGGCTCACCACTTCTTGAGAAGACATTTATATTACTATTTTATAAATCATTTTATGATCAAATTGTCTTAATATTTACTTCTAAGTTACATACAAATGGTCACTCACAGACTTGTGATTGTTTCACTTCAATTTTTCAGACTCATGATGGCATAAAAGTGATACATATTCCATAGACAACATACTTCAGAACTGAAGCTAGTAATTCCTACAGTGTTGAACAATTTCCCTCATTTGCATTATAGACCAAAATAAAAATCAGAGATCCTCTCACTTTCAATCCTCTACTTAAATCCTTCCAAGAGATTCCTATCTCAGAACAGCACTAAAATTTCAATGACATTCAAGGCCTAGCTAGCCTCACCTCCACCTTCTTTCCTGATCTCAGCTCCTCTAATCCTCTTGCCTATTCTCCCCACAACTGCTTTTCATGAAATTGGCTAGCTCTCATGAAACTGAAAATGGGAATCTATTGTAACCAGACAGTTACAATTATATTTGTAGTGGACCCTGAAATGAAAATAATAACCAAATTCTTTGCTAAAATGCTTAAATTAAGAAAATCATAAATACCTGAGAGAAAATTAATTCAAATATAATCAGTAAAATTCACCATATTTGTATCAAATCTGAACTTAATATAAAGGAGTTGCTGTTAAAGAATTAAGTCATAAGAATACATAAATTGAGAGTTAAATAGTTTTACATTTAAATAGAACTGGCATGAATTCAAATAGTACCAACTAGAATACAGAAAAATCTACAGAGGAAAAGTATTATGAGATATCTTATCACTCATCATCAAATTCTAAAATGAACTTTCAAGGTAATCCACTTAATAGAACGTCAATTTCAAAATACTCCCTTTAAGCATGAATAATTCCCTTGACTTCATCATGGTCTTAAAATCTGTAATTAGTATAGACAAATATTTTTTGGAGATGACTCTAAGAGCAACAAGGAAAGTAGACAAATTGGATTATATCAAATACAGAAACATCTACACAACCAAGGAGGCAATCAATCAACAGAATGAAAAACATCCTACAGAATGGAAGAAAATATTTGGAAGCTACTTACCCAACAAAAGATTAATATCCATAATATAAAAAATTCAATAACAAGAACAGCAACAAAACAACCCAGTTAAAAGATGAGTGAAGTAACTGAATGCAGTTCTTCAAGGAAGAAACACAAAGAGTCAATAATTAATATCACCAGCCATCAGAGAATTGAAAATCAAAGCTACAATGAACATCACACCTGTTAGAATGGCTAATATCAAAAATGTAGAAGGTGATAAATTCTGATGAGGATGTTCTTGGGAATGTAAATTAGTAGCACCACTATGGAAAACAGTATGGAGATGTCTTTAAAAACTAGAAAAAGACTTGCCATATTATCTGTCAATACCATTCCTGGGTATATGTCCAGAGACATGAATACCAGAGAGACACCTGCTGGCCCAGGGGCTGAGTCCAGGTTGACGCCGGCTGCGAAGGTGGCACCATGGGCATGGGTAGAGGAGCAAGTTGGCCAACACTCCCATCGGGAGTGGTGAGAGAGATGCTCCAGGGTAGGGGGTTAGGAGTGGCGGGCAGGTAGGAGGAAGGGAGTGGCGGGAAGCTGTTGGGCTGCAGCACTTTTAAAAAATTTTTGGGTGTCCTAATGGTGACCCCTCAGCGCAGATGTCCCTGATCCCTGCAGCAACAAGGGCCACCACCTGACCTGGAAAGAGAAATGCCAGCTCCTGGGCAGGCCTCATTGGAGGAGGAAAGGCAACCACAGACCCTCCAAGAAACTGCTCCATTATCCAGGCATGGAACCCAAGACCACAGCCATTACTA